ATTTAAGATATGTGCCAAGCAGCGACGAGATTGAAAGTGAAAATTATAATTTTTAAAATCAAATTATCTTTTAACAATCGCATTGCCAAAATCATATTAGAATCTCCATCAGTAGTAGCGCAAAGAATCTTGTCAGTAATGTTAAAAGCCGTAAGAACAGACTACAATTTAGCATTAATTTCATCACCCGTATGTGGATGAGGAAGCATACAAATATCAAGTAAGATTTTCTTAAGGTTCTAGTCACTATCTATCCAATATGCTGTGATACAAATAAAAGGCATATTAGCACGAGAGGTCCAAATATCTAACGTAATGGAAATTTTACTAGAAATTTGTTCAAAAAGAGACTGAATATCTTTTTGCATTACAGTAAATGCTTTTTGAATGATAGACTTAATAACATCATGTGAAGGCAAGTCTATACTAATATTAAGATATCAGATCATAGTAGCAAACGATTGGCTTGAAATAATTGAAAAAGGTAGAGTATCTGTTATAATCCATTCAGCTACTAACATATTAAATTTAGTTTTTTGAGCCATTATGAGGGTTTGTTTTGAAATTGTAGCTTCAGGCGTAAATGTAAGAACTTGTTGAATTGGTATTGATTTGTTTGTTTCCCAGCTCAGATGTCGAGAGTTAAGGTGTTTATGTAAGTTACTAGTAGCTATAGTTACGCTGAATTCACTTTTACAGATACTGCAAATTACTGACTGATTATCAATAGTTTTTTGTGAAAAATAGGGTCTAACAGGAGAGAGAAGTTTAGTGCTAGGTCTTTTTGAAACAATAAGAATGTCAGATATGATATTCGCACTATTGCTTGTAGTAGCGACACATTCAGCCATACTGTTATCAGGAATATTTTCAAAAAGGTCATCAGTATCCATCACAATATATGTTTGTAGAGGAGTTAGAGTTAATTTTTAAATCGAATATGAATTGGGCAGTTATGTTTTGAGCTTTTTTTATATTTGAGCAGTGGTCTAGAAAATATCAGCTGAGAATTTGAGGATTCTCTAACTGATCATCAAAATAATTCATGATAAAACTAATTATCAGTCAAGAATTCTCAAATTCCCAGACTGATATTTTCCTAGACCGTCGCATATTTACTAACCACTATTATTCAAAATCTATATTAAGAAATTATTTGCACTCTGAATTAGATTTTTTTGAGGCTATGACTGTAAGGTTTTTTCTTTTTTTTTATAAAAAATTTAATTTTTTTTTACTCTTCGTGTAAATTTTATGATTAACCTACTATCGAGCTATGTAAAGACGAATTGGCTAACAATCAAGCCAGATTTAACGTGATTTTCTCAAGCTAGTTATCTAGTTTGAAGTGGCTTTGCTCCAAAACTATAGCTAAAATTCCAAAGCCATGATTGTCAGCTTATCTTATTCCTACTACCAAGTCAAGTTCATGATTCAAATTGCTGATAAATTTTCAGAAAACCAGTTAATAGTATGCAAATAACTTCAAAATAAATAGAAGATTTTCAGCGAATTAGTTGATGATATGTGAATAACCTTAAATATAGTAAGAACTTATTATTCAACGAAGTTCAAAAATGCTGATAGATTTTAGCAAAATGGTTAGATACAATAGTTTGTAAATGATTACTAAAATTAAATCAAATGGGAGCGTCATTAGTCTTTTATTGCTTAAACTGATTTATTTAATACATTTTAATTTATTTAAGGGTTTGCTATATATTATAATTATGTATAAATAAAGAAGTAAAAAAAAAGTAAATTAAAACAAAAATAAAGTAAAAAAATGAATGCATAAATGATAAAAAGTTTTTAATTTATAATGTTCCAAATTAAAATGCAATTGGGTCACTATAGTTATTAGCATTCAAAGAAACTTTGATTTTTTTTACTTTACTTAGCTACTTAGAAAATTTTTTAATTATTTAAAAAAGTGTGATAAAGTTAAGCATAATTTAAGTCATGATACTAATAGTCAACTATTTTTGAAGCCAATACTTTATTGTATAGTACTATAGATCCATAGCCGAGCTGATGATCGGCTTCAAGGTCTTAGCCAAGCCATTTTTAAAGCTGATACCTTATTAGTAGACCCATAGCTGAGCCAATGGTTAGCTCGGCTTAGCTGATCAGCTCACGGCTCAGCTTTAGCCGTTCGCATCACTAACTACAAGTCGACAAAATAGTATGGGACTTTATATATCACCTTAAGACTCTGGATATGTGTTAATACAGAACTGATATTCTATTTATCTTAAAG